GCCATCACCTTCCTTCAGGAACAGAAGGCAGGAAAAAAAGCAAACAAACAAACAGCCGCACACACAAAACCCGAAGCATCCTCCCGGCTTGAATACTCCTCTCAAGAATTATCTCTCAAAGGTAACGTCACAAAGAAATGACAATAAAATATTATAGATGACCTCTCGGTCAGCAGGCCTCCTGCAGGCCCATGCGAATACCGGCTTTCCCATCAGTGGGGCCTAGATATATACACCCGAATGTCACCACTGGCACACACAAGGTCCCAAAGTGACAGACCCCAGCACAGATGAAACTTCTGAATTCAAACTGAGATTATCTGGAATACAAGCAACCCCCAAGTCAATACATGAGCAATCTTTGCCAGGAACTATTTCAACACAATAACGGATAATTACAATCTCTGCTCTAAAACCCCAGCAGTTCAAATTGCCTATGAAAAAAAAAGAAAATAAAGAACTAAAATCTTCTACCATTAAGCAGAACGACCCACAAGTGTGCCAAACAGGTGTCATTTCCTAACGGCAATGCTTTCCACATTGACTGTACGGAGTCATGCTAGACCGCGAGTTACCCACCCCACCGTCCGTTGTACTCACTCTAAACCGTACAAAAATTAAGCATCAGCTCTGCTTAGCCAAAGCACTGCAGATTTCAATTAAGTTTAATTACCTTATGGTAACTTGGGCCTAGCAGCACTAACACGTGACGCAGACACACCTTCATCGTTAACTGCACCTCAGCAAGGAACAGCGGATTTAAAGCTCAACTAGAGAGCAAAGAACTCCTCCAACACTCATTTATTTTGTGACCTGGAGCAAGCTGTCTGCATTTCAGTTCACCTTTCCATACAACACAAAAAGTAATCTCCCTTTGTAAGACAGCTACCAGGAATACTTACATGTCACCTGGAAAACAGAGAACAGCACCGCAGCGTGAAATGCTGGTATCAGTTTCACATAAGGAAGGTACAAACCTGAATGCATCTTCCTACAGTTAGCAGCAAAGTTACTAGAAGAAAATTATTCCTGGTTCCTGAGCTTTTTTTCTAACAGCAAACCTGTCTGACCTGTACCAAGCCCATCTGCTTCACCAAGTAACCGCACATTTGAGGCTGCTCACCTTATGTTTTATGTAACCTCGTGAAGCAAAGTTTAACACACCAGATATGCCTGAAACATGCGCTCGCAGTAGGGACTGCCTAAGTCAGTGTACTAGCTAGAGTCGCAGGTCAAGCAAAAAGAAATTATTGCAGCTCCTGACTCATACTGCTGCGCTATCAAGAGCTAAAATTCCCCTGCCCG